AAAAAAAAAAAAAAAAAAAAAAAAAGAATGAACTTCAGTGACCCACAATATAGAGAAATCATAACAATATTAAGGGAAAACTGTAAGTCCCAAAAGATTATATACAGAATGATGTTCTCCTCAAAAGGTGAAAATAAACACACACACATATTTAGGAATATACACGAAATAATTAAAATTATTAAAAACAAAGAGCAAAGAAATAATAAATATGAAATTCAAAATGTTGGTTACCTCAGGTTGGGGGAAGATGGGGATGTGATGGGAGTGGGGAGGAGGAGACCATGCAATTAGATATACGATATCCTTGGAGGACAGAGTTTTTTGTTTGTTTGTTTTTTAAAAAGATGACCAGTAAGGGGATCTTAACCCTTGGCTTGGTGTTGGCACCACGCTCAGCCAGTGAGCAAACCGGCCATCCCTATATGAGATCCAAACCCATGGCCTTGGTGTTATCAGCACCGCACTCTACCGAGTGAGCCACGGGCGGGCCCAAGGATAGGTTTATAGGGATTTATGATATTACTAAAGGTAAGTAGCTAATATATAAATAAAAGCAGGCCATGCAAGGACCAATGCTAAGGATGTGTTAGGAACCAAGGGTAATAATTAATCCAACTCTGGTACCCCTGAGATTGAACAAAGAATTTAAAAATCCTCATACGATATTAAAATTTAATTTTAGGTTAGAAGATTTTTTCTCAAATTTTTTATTTAAAAATTTTATGTACTTATTTTGACAAATTATAATCATATATAGTTATGAGGTTATATGTATACATATGATGTTACACGTATACAGTGTGGAATGACTGAATTAAACTAATTAACATATCCATCACCTTCAATAAATAATTCCTCCTGTCTAACCACAACTTTACGTTTTGTTTTCTTTTAGGTTTTTTGGCAGCTGACAGATAAGGAGATCCGAACCCTGTATGTTGGTATTATAGCACCAGGCTCTAACCAACTGATCTAACCGGGGCCAGCACATAAGTGTAACTTCGTATCCTTTGACCAACATTTTTCTTTCCCCCTAACCCCCAGCTTCTGCTAAACACCATTCTACTCTAGGTAAGAGTTTTTAAATATGTCTCAAAAGTATGGCTTTCAACAGATGCATCCCACCTCATGCCCACAATTTGATTGGCAATGTCATCAACTTTGCCAATCTTTTTCTGCTCAACTTGATCGGTAAGGCATTTTAATAACAAGCCTCCCAAACCGCATCTCCTCTTCACTGCTCCATCCAAAACATCCCCCTCTCTCACAATAACCTGCCCCAGGAGATTTCAATGTTGATGAAAGAAAGTGTTTACTTGAAGTGGGAAATTTAGCAGTGAAATTTAAATATATGGAAGGAAGTTTAAATTCAGTTCCTCAGTATCAGGAAATTTGCATAGCACAGGCTTAGAATGCAATTGAAGTGAACCGGGGGAAGGGTGGGTGTGACCAGGATATCGTCCATTATAAAATATAACCCGGAAGTGCAGATTTGAAAGTACATCCCTCAAGTCAAGATAAATGACACAGGAGTAAAAGTTTTATTTTATTTTTTATAGAAAACCTAGATTTATTTCTTAAGCTATTACAAAGACAAAACAGTTATCATTTGAAGTACTTTAAGGACTTCATCCCAGTTTCATTTGTTTTTTTGTTTTTTTTTTTTTAAAGATGACCGGTAAGGGGATCTCAACCCTTGGCTTGGTGTTGTCAGCACCACGCTCAGCCAGTGAGCAAACCGGCCATCCCTATATAGGATCCGAACCCGTGGCCTTGGTGTTATCAGCACCCTGCCTTCAGCAGGAATCTGTCGAGCTGGATTTAGCCAGAATCCTCCCTTATCCCAATGTTTTGTGTTAGTAATTTTCCATCTACTGATCCCCACACTATTTGTTGGCTGTAAAACCCCACTTGTCTTTGTATTCTAAGTACCTCTCTCTCCTACCTATTGCAAAACCCTCATTGAATAAAGGATTCATTACCATCTTTAACAAGTGTCATCATTAGTTTCATTTGTTCTGTTACAGAAACTAACTTAAGAGGCTGGAAATCAAAAGATATAAACTAGGAGACTGTAACAGAGTAGACCGGGTGAAACAAGATGAATGGAGCAAAAAGCTAGTCAGAAGCACTTGTATTAGTGGTAATATGCGGCTGGGCTGTTTCCCAAGAGGCTACCTAGAGATGCCTTAATTAATGTGGGCCCCAAATTAGTAAAACACTCGTGCCCTGTGAAGAATGAGCAGAGGCTAGGATTCTCTTGAGATCTCTTTGTCTTTCTTTTTAGGGGTAACGATATCCTTGGGACCCACAGAGGCGTATCTTAGCTTCAGCCTCTTTTTCCACCCAGTCCACCACATTTCACCACACCGGCCTGCTAGCTTACAGAGGATGCATACAGTAAAGGCAGGAATTATAGGCCTACGCAGAGGGTACCTTAGACACAGAAGGTTTGGGAGCAAATGATAAACTACAAATACCTTCTTGGTTAATTCACCTTTGTTAATAAAGGTCATAGTTTCTTATGCTGGTTACAACTTGCTGTCTCAGTATAGTTTATCTCAAGAAATAACTGGTTCGGGTGAGTTTTGGAGAAGGAAAAAGACTTTCATCAACCCCATTCCAGAGTGGAAGAGGAGCCAAGTTCTCTCCTACTTATGAGCAAAATCTTAAGGTAGCATAAATCATTTTCAGTGGTCAACATCAGCATCCTCTAACTCGATGAGAATTGGGACTAAACTTAACGTTTTTATTTCCAGCCCCTAAAAAAGAGCCACTAATCAATTCTTAACCTGCTAAAATTGAACCTGATTCCTAGTGTTCATCTTGTTCTGCTAGTAGTCAATGTGCTAAAATTTTCCATGTGACAGGCCAAGAATTCTGTTTGCTTTCTCAGTAAGCAGGTTATTTGGGACTGTTTTTCCCTATTATTTCTTAAATGTATGGATATCTTCTTGTACTGTTTTGAAAGGGTAGGGGCTTATAAATCCAATAGCGTTTATCAAGGTAGTCTGGGAACCAACACTTTCAAAATTATCTACAAAGCGTTTTTTTAAGTACAGACTTCCAGGTCCTACCCAAACCTGCCGAATCAGATTTCTGCTGATGGCAGGGTGCTGGAAGATATACCTAAGAATTTCCACGTGAGACTCCTTGGCACGAGGCTACAGTATAAAAAGCATCAAGTATGGGCCTTTCCCTTCAGCTTCACAGCTCCAGCCGCAACCTAGACGCCAGCTTCAGCCAAAAGCTTCCGACCCGGAGCGAGGAGGAACCGGATCAGCTGTTTTCTCCTGGACAGGGACTCCCGCCTACCCAGTGACCACACGCAAGCAGGAGCGCTGAGTCGGTGCAGGCGCCCCCAGGCGATGCCAGCCCCATGCTCCAGGTTCCCCTCGTGGCTCGAGGGCCGGACTCCGCCATGTGGCAACAGACCTGACGGCGAACGCTAGGAATCGGCCGGCAGCGGCAGCCCCACACAAAGCCAAGTCCCGGCCTAAGCGCTGCTCGCGGCCAAGGCGGGCCGGCAGGAACACGCCCATCCCTTCGCTAGCAAGCTCGGAGCCCCGCCCACCTGGCAGCTGCAGGAATCCGACCGGCCCCACACCTCCTCTTGACTCCGCTCACGTTGCGGCGACGGAAACTTAAGGACGGTGCACCGCGCTCCACAGGAAGTACTTCTCTAGGCGGAAGCTTCTGAGTGCGATATTGCGGAAGAGCCTTCTCTTCCGGTCTCTTTGGTCTCGGCGGCAGAAGCGAGATGGTGAGTTTTTTGAGTGGGTTCTCGGAATCTCGTTCCATCCTCGTCGCCTGTGCAGCGCTATGTGCTATCTTTGGGAGGCTGGCGAGGTTCCGGATGAGGAGAATGGGTGGGTAGGAAAGGAACGTGCCGCGGTCCTCAAGAGCCAGAAGAATGGCTTCTGGTCCGTGCCTGGGGGACCGAGCCTGTAGTCGGGGGAATGGAGCCGCACTGGTCCCTTGCCTCTGTCTGACCTTTGGGGAGCTCGCGCAGCTCGGGCCTCAGATGAGAGCGGAGGGAACACGTTTGGGAGAATTTGGTTCTGTGTAACAGTAAAGAAATTCGTTAACGGTGGTGCCAGGCAGGAATCCTTAGTTTTTGGGATAGGTAGTAAAACAACGTTCTTTCTTCTTCCACCTTTTGCCTTTAAGAAAAAAAAAAAAAAAATAGGTTTTAGAACACTGCAGCTCTTGCGGAGAAATTAAACGTGAGATGTCGGTAGTGGTCTCTGACTTGGCATTTATGAAAAATTAGTACCGTCTCCCACAGTTTTGGCCCTTATGATTGCCTTTAACTTTTGCCAATAATTGGTTTTCCTAAAAAGGTCAGAATACATATATAAATTGCCAGATCTCAGAATTGTTTATGCTTCTAATTTGCAGACGAAAGGAACGTCATCGTTTGGAAAGCGTCGAAATAAGACGCACACGTTGTGCCGCCGCTGTGGCTCTAAGGCTTACCACCTTCAGAAGTCGACCTGTGGCAAATGTGGCTACCCTGCCAAGCGCAAGAGAAAGTGTACGTAATGTTTTTCAGGCCAGCTGTCTTTGTTAGCCTTGCACCTAAGTGGGGGCATGGCTTTGGACTTTATTTGGTACGCATAACTTGTGCATCTCTATGCTGATGTAGTGGCGTAAAACTCAAGGTACTTAGATATATACGGTGTTGATTAACAACACCTATAAGGTGTGTGGGAATAACCATTTGTGATCTTACGTGAATTTGTGTTTTAGATAACTGGAGTGCCAAGGCTAAAAGACGAAATACCACTGGGACTGGTCGAATGAGGCACCTGAAAATTGTATACCGCAGATTCAGGTACAGTTTATATATATATATATATATAGGCCATAATTGGTCCTGTGGGCTTGGATAAGAACTTTCATTGTACCTGTAGAAAGATGATATTCTACTACCCTGATGATTAGTTGAGTAGTAGGGATGAGGTATTGGAAATTTTGGTTCTTTTTTTTTCATTTTAACAGTATCTTCTAAGATTAACCTATCTAAAGTCTGAGCTGAGATTGCAGACTTCACTTTAAAGCCTTTGCTTCTTCTATGACCATGCTCAATTCCAGCAACTTTCAACTATTCGGGGCTAGATTATTCTTTGTCGTGTGCAAAATAGGATGTTTTGCAGAATCCCTGGCTTCTACCCACTCATTGCCCAGAAGTATCCAATTTTAAAAGGTGGGCAGTTTGGAACTTTGTAAACACACTTAGATGTGTTTGTGCATGTGCTGAGGTGACTCCTCTTTGTTTGGTCTTTAAAGTCATTATACAATTGTATGGGCTTAGTGTTGAGTAGTCTGCTAGATAATGGAGTAGTTAACATGAACTGAAGCTAGACTTTAAGCTCAGTCATCTTCAAAGGGGAACAGTAGTTCATCTTTCTCAGGGTAGGTAATAATATTTAGTTAATAATGTAAAACTCTTCTTAAGCAGTTTAGAAAATGTCTGCCATTAAACATTCTCATTTTTTTTTTATTGGAATCTATCCCCCATAGCATAGGGAACCACTTACACAAATACCTTGGGTCTCTTAGCAAGCAGTGAAAAAATACTGGCTCAGTGACCATATGGCCAAATAAGTTGTTGAGCCTTTATTGCAGTTGCAGTTAACTATATCCTAAAATGGATATCTTTAAGCAGAACGAAGTATAAATAGTAGGATCTTTGCAGTGATTTAAAAATAAATCTCTGAACATACGAATACAATTCTTATTTCAGCATTTAACTGAGATAAGTTTATTAAAATCTGTTTAACAAAAACTAAAATATATGTACTGATGTTGCTGACTTAACTTGTTTTTAACGTGATGCAGGCATGGATTCCGTGAAGGAACAACACCTAAACCCAAGAGAGCAGCTGTTGCAGCATCCAGTTCATCTTAAGGATATCAGCGATTAGTCATGCAATAAATGTTCTGGTTTTGAAAAATATGTCTGGTGTGCTGAGGTATTTTTAATCAACTAGGCTTTATTACCAGTGAGTTGGTGTAGGTTTGGGGAGTGGATCAACTGAACATCAGATTTACTTGTTCAGTTAAGTGACTGTTCTAGAGCACAGACTTTTTGAACTGGGTTGTGACACTGCTTAAGGCGATGAGAAACAAGCAGATGGCACTGAAAGGAATAATTAAGGAATAGGTAAAAAGCACAGCTCAAATGGCATGGGTAGGTATTTAAAAAGATAGAGTAAATGAAAAAGCCGAACTTTAAATTACTTTAGTAGCATGTTCATCTACTGTACTCTAATGACTTTGGGGTGATTGTTAATCATGTAAGGCCTTGGACTACATGAGAGGACATGAAGGGTAGGGGCCAAATTTTGGTTTTGGAAAGATGGTCTTTCTTTCCATAATGCTTCCTTGACACCTAGCACGTAGATTGTGTGTAAGATGCTACCTAAGTGATGGATTAATTAAAGCAACGTGCTAGGTGCAAGTCAACTTAAAGTATGTAGTAAGCATGATTAAGAGAAAGTCTGCAGGGGTGTATGCAGATTGAGTGGATTGAGGAGGAAGTAAAGGAAAGCCATGTGTAAGCCCTGAGATTGGTAGAATAAAGGCAATGATATATAACTACCTGATAGAATGTTTTTTTAACCCTCAACTGGGTAATTGGGAGTTTTTTTGTTTTGAAGCACTGAAATTTTTTTGTCATGCTTTCTTGGTTCTGGTGGTTCATTGACTTTCGAAGTGAGGAGACAAGGCCTACTTTGTTGGTTGCTGAGTGAGATTACAGGGACAATTAAAGGGAACACGGATGCTGGAACAGCTTTGTTAAATAGTGACATAGCCAACCTATGCTAAATTCCTTTTGTATTTAGGATAACATGTAAGATGCTTAGCCTGGCCTTGAAAGGGTTTTCATGATCTTCCCTGCCTCATCAACCTTTTATTACCACTTTTATTTGTAGCCTAGAATGCTTTCCAGGACTAGCTAATTCCCACCATCATTCTGCTTTTTTAATTCTTAATTCATCCTTCAGGTCTCAGCCTACCATTCACTTGTACGGAAGCCCCAGCTAATAATCTAAATCTCTATTGGGCTTCCTCCCAGTATGTAACACTATACTTTCCTTTAGGAATACGTGGTTCCTAGAGTCTAATTGTCATTTGTTAGTGTGATTTTATTAACTTATGTGCCTATGTTCACTTGTAAACTGGAGAGCTAATACTGTTGATGGGCTTGTGAGCAGTGGGTAGGTCAGTAAATGATGGTGCTTTTATAGTGGCCACAACCTACAGTTAGTATTTGACCTACGAAAACAACAATTTTGATATATTTTGGCTTGATGAAGCTGAAATAGTCTACACTTAACGTTTTTCTAACCTAAGATGAGAGGTGGGCAGTTATGCGCTGCATTAAGGACTGTTATTGAATAGAAGAAAGGTGAGCTTACCTCTTGTTTGCCAGTGCCTGCAGCCTTTGGCACAGAATAGCTTTCAGTGGGAAGTTACTTTGGTGCAATGGTAGTGACCACTGTATGTCATAAAACACAGACCAAAGTTGTTCTAATCATAGTTTGTTAATCATAGACCTAGAGAGAAGCAATGGGAAGGAGACAGTGGGTTAACACATTTAGAATAGGATATAGATGGATGAACTCATCTGCACTCAGTGAGTCTATGAAATGTTGATACATCTTAATCTCTGATATTCTGAGGTTTGAGCAGTGGAACCCAATGCAACAAAAGATGTTTGGGGCAAGTTCCACACTTGTTTTACTGAGACAGGAACCAGTATGCCTGATCAACACCTGTATGGAATTTGCATCTTTTAGGCAGAGGGCACAGTGGTCCAGATGGATGTCACCACTGGGTAGCAGAAATGAGACCTCGGATGTTAAGTGCCTCACGTCTTGAATTGTTTACTTAGACCCTTTGATCTCCCCCTTTCTCATATACACACTTTTATCTGACACTTCTGTTAGGTTACTAGCTTTATGTGCATAATACATGAGTTTCCTCTGCTCCATTTGGTTTTGTCTTCCCTGGCAGAATTCAATACTCTAATAGCAAATTTGCATTATTTTAGGCTCTGGAATATTTGTTGCATGAAAGATTGGGAAATGACCCCATTACACTGCCAGTCTTTCAAGTAAAAACAAACCCCGAGAAGACAGAATGTGTGATACCAGCCTTGAAAGACTGAAAGTTGGCTGAGTTCCTGTGAGTATAATGAAAAGCAGGTGAAGTTTGGCCAGTTTGGGCTTGAGAAGCAGCCATGGGCTCTTAATTTAAATCCTGTGAAAGTACGCTGACTTCCATATAAAAGGGTATTTCAAAAAGTTTATGGAAAGATTCATATCTTTTAATAATATATTCCATGAACTTTTTTTTTTTTTTTGTCCTTTTGAGACCATCCACACCGTGCTCAGCCAGTGAGCGCACCTGCCATCCCTATATAGGATCCGAACCCGTGGCGGGAGCGCTCCCAGCGCCGCACTCTCCCGAGTGCGCCACGGGCTCGGCCCCCAAGAACTTTTTGAAGTACTGTTGTAGAGTACGTCCCAGCCAGATGTACCACCTTATGCTTCTGCTGTGCAATAGAGGATAACACAATTCTTGTAACAACCCTATGAACTTAATATTGTTCCAGTTCTCAAATGAAAGTCTTAAATGGTGGATCTAGGATCCATGTTCTAGCCACTTCACCACACTGTTGTACCTTCTACCTTTTGCATCTTGGTGCCACTTCATTAAACTTTCCAAGATCCTATTTTTATTCACTGCAATGTATGTTGTATTTTCTGCTTCTGTCTTAAACAGTGCTTTGTCCTTAAGTTACAGTTATATTCAGGTATCCATTATATTTTAAACTTTTGATCAGAGACCACGCTTTATCTTTTTTATGGTTTTATGTACAGGCTTGCAAAAATGTTTGTTAAATTTATTTTTCTATTTCCTGAATACCCTTTGTGCTTTTCAACCCTTTGCTCTTTGCCTTCTACCTGAAATGCCTACTCCCTCACCCCTACTTCCCTCCCACCCCAGTTTTCAAAGTCAGAATGTTCCCTTTTACTCCCTCTGATTTTACCAGTCAGAGGTTACTTTGCTCCCAATGTTCAAATAAAGCAGAGTACCTATTTTCACGAGTTACTGGTTATGTTCTGTAAACTTCCAAAAGTGTAGAGGGCAATAGAAAGGTTGAGACTGGAATTTAAAACCTTTGGGAACCATACTTAATGATATCTCCCATATTAACTGTGCCCTGTACTTATTAATCAACAGTGTGTAGTAAAATAAAGGCAGATTTACTCATTGAGTAAACTTTACTGTGCTCCTGCTAAGGCCTGGGCATAATAAAGAGTTGAAAGTCACGATTTCTGTCTTCAGGGATCCCAATTCTAATTGAGACACAGATGAACAATTACATAAAACAAAAGTATGATGGATAAGTGCACAGATTGCTGTGAGCATTGAAAAGGAGGGCTGGCTAGTTAGTTCACTTGGTTAGAGCATGGTGTTGGTAACACCAACGTGAAGGGTTCAGATCCCCTAATTGGCCAGCCACCACAAAAAAGAAAAAAAAGAAAAGGAGTGTGTAACTCAGTAGGTGAAAAGAAACTAAGGGTTAAACTGAGCCAGGGAGGACTTAAAAGAATTATGGTGAGAAAGGAGTTGAATAGCTTTGCCAGCAATGGAACAGGTGGCATAATGGTAACCAGTCAGAGGAGGGCATAACCATGAAACTGCAGGTATTGTCAAGTCAGAAGAATAAGTGGGTTTGAGGGGTTGGCTAGTGAAGAATCTAGAGGAGTAAGCAGTGATTAGATCATGAAGGGTCTAGCTTAAAGACTGATAAATCACCGAAGATTTCAAGCTAAGTGTCATGATTATCATTTTAGCAAAATTAAAGTGGAAAGTATGGATGTTATGAGTCTTGAAGCTGGAAAACCAGGTGACATGGGTTAAATGTGTCCCCCAAAGGTTTCATGTATTGGAAACTTAATCCCCACTGTCAAGATGATAGGAAATCCTATTATGATAATTGAAAGGTCATATGTTTAGGAAGTGATTAGATTGTGAGAACTGTCCCTCATGAATGGATTAATCCATCGATGATTTAATGGTGGTTATGTGTGTAGTTCTGATGGCTTTAAAAGGAGAGCAAGTGAGGTTAGCTCTCTTGCTGAGCCATTTTTCCATTGACACCCTGCATTGTTGTAAAGAGTCACCACCAGTAAAAAGGCCCTCACCAGATTTGTTCCCTGGATTTTGGACTTCCCAGCATCCGAACTGTAAGAAATAAATTCTATTTCTTTATAAATTATCCAGTTTCAGGTATTCTGTTACAAGCAACAGGAAACAGACTAATACACCAGGCAACAAGTTCTTAAACAGTCCATTTGAAAATTATGAGGATGTGGTTGGGGGGGCTGGCTGTTAGGGGAAGTCTTCACATAGAGAAAATGTAAAACTTGAATGAAAGAGAGTAACTAACTGCCAAGCTCTTGTTTCCTTCTGTATAATTTTCTGTATCTCATAGGCTGTGCGAAGGTTACATGAGATCATACATGTAAACATAATAACATTGTGTCGAATGCAGCAAGGCTCAAAACTATTATCAAGGAGACAGGAGTCTTGGGATGCCTTAGGTTTCTGACTAGAGCAATAAGGGGAAAATATTAAAGTTGGGTTTTGTTTGAGATGTTGGTGGGACATGAGGAAGTATCTAGGAAACAGAGTAAACCTGGTAGCAGTTCAGATGGAAGGCCAGGATTGGAGATCTTCATTTGGAAGTAACATACTGTTGTGAAAGGGAAATGACTTTAAGGTTTAGAATGATGAAGATAATAATAAAAATGGAGACTCGAGGGCCGGCCCGTGGCTCACTCGGGAGAGTGCGGTGCTGATAACACCAAGGCCCCGGGTTCGGATCCCATATAGGGATGGCCGGTTCGCTCACTGGGTGAGCGTGGTGCTGACAATACC